CACACTCTCTCAGCCTCAGAGGATGGCACTGACAAGCCCGCTCTTAAGAATCTTGCCAAGCAAACCCCATGATACGGTTGCCTTAGGATTGCCATAAGCCAAAAATGACTTGGAGGCACACAACAACAGCAGCGTGTACAGTGGTTAGAGTGTTGGACTATGACTCCGGAGACCAGGGTTCGAATCCCTGCTCAGCAATGGAACTCCACTGGGTGACTTAAGCAAGTCACATTCTCTCACCCCCAGATGAAGGCCATGGTGGCAAGCCTCCTCTGAATAATAAATCTGGCCAAGAAAGCCCATGATAGGTTCATGGTCCTGTTAAAGTCACCATAAATATGAAATGACGAAGGCACACAACGACTCTATGATTCTATAATTCTATGATGACAACAACAACAACAACTTGGAATTGACCAATTAACCGGTAGATTTGGGCCCATAAGAGGAGTTCCAGCAACACTGGACCAGGCCAAAGGGCTACAGAGGCCAGCACCCCATTTCGCTGACCAGTGGGACAGGAGGTGGGCAACAGTCCAGACAAGGGGTGCAACTGGAGGGGAGGCAAAATGGAGTCCTGGGGGGGGAGAAACACCAAGAATTCTGCTTCCCCTCCCCCCGTGCAATTTTCTTTCCACCCCAAGATTTCTTGCACTGCAATATCCAAAACCTTTGCATTTAGAAAGAGAGTTCAGGCACCCCAAGGAAAGGGCAAAAGGCAAAGCGGAAGAGGGCTTCTGGGTGCAAACCATCTTTTAGGCCTCCTTCTCTGCTTTGCTAGAAACAGAGGTGCAGAAGGGAAATACCAGAATTCTTATATTTTTTTGGGGGGGAGCAACATTGTCCTCCTTTTGCACCTCCTTTTGCTGCAGCCCTGAGTGTGCGCATCATGCGCCTGGCTCCTAAGCAGCCTCCGGCGCCAGAGGAATGGCATCGCCACCATCGGGACTACTAGCCTTCCCTGCAAACTTCACGGCTGGGGTACCAATTCTGTGCCTTGTTTTTAAAGGCAGCCACGAAGAAAGGGATTATGCTCCATCCCACATCTCAGCAAAATCCTAGGCTGCTGTGGTCCCCTCCGCCCCTGCCCCCCCC